GGCATATTTGAAAATCTCAAACGCGAAATAGAAGGTGTCTCAATCACACTAAGCAAGTAACTCAAGAAAATCATGTCAATAAAACCTATATAAATTGACTCTGTATCTCGGCCTTGATTTGATGCATAGTTCTGATATTACGTTTTGGTACATCCCAAACATACATTTAAGGTTTGAATTTCCTACTCTAGACAATAGAATCCACATTGCAAATGATAAGTTGGCATGTGAAAGATGGTAATGATTTCATCAGTGCCTATTGCTGGTAATTGAAAATAATGGTCACGTGACCATCACGTGACCATCACGTGACATAATTTAAGACTCAAAAGCACTGGTTAATTTGTTGTATCCAAAAAAAGCAAGATATTAGGCATAGTAGTCCCAGAAGGCCAAAATAATCGGTATTTTGCATCAGCCTCGTTTCCAGGTAAGGGCCTTGTATGCTATATTTTTGACATGCGCATTCCATGGTTCTGGAAGCAAATTTGGCATGGCTCCATATCAGGAAATATTTGTCTTATGGAGGTTTGCAACCCTGCCAAGTTTGATGCTTTTATCAAAAAACGAACAATTTTGTCCCTTAACAGCTGGACTAAAAGCCCAAGAATTTACACAAATTTATTTTTATTCAGTTGTGAATATAAAGTCAGCAACATCATGACTCCAATTCCAAAAATATTTGTTCTCAAAGTAGTGATTTTGCAACTGGAATCAGTAAGGTATCAACAGAGAGACAATCCATTCAATTTGGCATACATGATATACATGTGCATATATTCAGTGCTGAGCTTGCAATGCATTATAGGGCAATTTTCAAACATGGCTGTTTTTGGGTGTTTTGTGAGGCAGAGAGAGACTTAGTTGCTGTGGTTTGGCCCTTATTTCTCATGATAAAAGCAAAACAGGACTAGAGCAGCTGTTTCCCGTTTAATTTATTGTATGAATGATATTTTGACCGATTTCAAGAGAAACATCAAGGCCAGTCAGAGTGTGAACAAATGTACAATGATCAGCGATGGTTGGCAGGCTTTTTGCCAGGGAATTTTTATGTTGCTGGAACAAAGTTACACTTAGGAATTGCTAATTCCTGTTTACAAAAGATTGGATTCATTGGACTGATTAGATGAGAATGAAAATTCCATGTTTAGGTGCCCACTCAGGCACCTTGAACAAAACTTTACTCGCCCGTGCCACACTTGTAAGTTAGGCACCTCAGGCAACTGGGCACCCATTAGGCAGCAGCCTTGACTCTCCCCTTCTCACAAAGTCTCTCATTAACCATGCACCACCCATGATATACCATATTTATTTGATTGAACACTGTGGCATTTATTAAATTTTTTGTGATTCAAGTGCGGCATTAATTCGAGGGCGGCGTTTATTTAAAATCTAGTTGATTTCTTGCAAACAATAGTATATTGGTAAAAGCATTGAAAGAACACTGAAAGAGCGCTGAAGTATATTCACTTCGAACTGAAAAACATTGTTATCAATGAAAGCAAACTTCTAAAGCTTGTTTAAGTTGAACTACCATATATTGTTCTCGTGTTTTGATTATATTCCTATGAGCTTTGAATGTACTGATATTGAAACACTGTTACAATCGAGGAAAATAATTTTTTTAGGCTTTCTCAAACTTGATTATGACTGCATTTGCTTTTTGAGTTTATTATTCAAATAAATGCCGCATCATGACGCCATGTTTATTCAAGGGTGGCATTTATTCGAGGGCGGTACTTAATTGAGTAAATACAGTATGAATCTTGTGGCACGCTACATATTTACAGGACAGACCAATCTCCATTCTCATCCATATTTATGTTCCTAATTTTTTTCCTTGATTTGCAGTTCTAACTGATGGCACAAGTTGGTCATGTACCTTAAGGTCATTCCCCTTTATTACATTGCGCATCCTTACTGCACATAATTTATGGCGTCATTAGCGCACGTTCCTGCACATGCACATTGAAAACATGGTGGATTTGCCTTATGATATTGAGTTCTGTCTCTTGAAAAATGGCTATAGCTCACTAACAAGCTTGGGCCCCCAAATTTTTTTCCAGACATTTTAATCAACTAATCATTAGCTTTGCGTGAGAAAAGACTGATCTGATTTCTATGTTTGAAAATTGAATAAATAAGAAAAATAGCAGCTGCATTGTAGTCTTTTCAATTTGCAGTTTGATAGCCATGGCAAGCAATTTGGTTCCAACATTTAACAAGGATTCAGCTGTCTGTCAAAATCAAACTTAAAAAGTTTATTCATGTCCGACACAAGTATTGACAGTAATTTGAGGCGTGTTTTCATGAGTCTGGGCTCACAAAGAGTTTACAATAACTTAGAATGCACTCTCGTAATAAGCACTAAATAATGCTAAAATGGGACATTTTCAATGCCTCACTGCTCCTTAACGAGCATGGGCACCCCCCTTTTTTATTTTATAATTTAAGTCCTCATATGATAAATATTCATTGGACAAAGTTTGAACAAAAATCTATGTTCAATTTTATTTCTGGGGAATTACCTTTAATTTCTCCATATACAAACCCACTACCCTCAAAATAAACCTTTTAGCAAAAAATTATTCCCATTTTGCACAAAGGGACATGGGCACAGAACACAGAAAAATTTACTATTTAAAACAGTCTATGTTCACAATGAATTTGAAACTGTTAAAAAATTCAAGAATTTCGCAAAAGTTCCTAGCTACCACGTGCAAAATGAAAATACAAATTAGTTGGAACTCCTCCGTGTTTTAAAAACAAATTAGCACCTTTTATCCTTTTAGCATTTTTTAACACCTTTAGTATTGTGTGAGAGGATTTCTAAGAGGTTGGAATTTCGTTTTGTAACCAAGAATTTCAAACAAAAGTCAGTCTCGGAATTTTTTTGCTCAAAACAGTGGCGGGCACGTGCGATATGTAAGAATTTGAATTTCCCGCTGTATAAATTATAAAAGCACAACACAGCATAATTTAAACAAGTTCAAAAATACTTAGGTGATAGCAACAGAACAACGCCACTAGAACTAATTTTAGTAATAAAACAGCTTTTGTTATTAAGCTTACCTTTAGTACCAGTTTTATGGAATAATTTGTGCAATGTTTCTGTGCGTGAGGGGTTGTTAAACGTGGTCTTCATTCCAGTGTTCTGAAGCCGTCACAACAATTTTCCTTGCACTCAAATCCAACCAAACGAGCAAAAACATGCTTCAAAAGAAAACTGATACCATAGATGTCGTATTCGTCGTTGCATTCATCATCCAAAATAAGTTTACAATCTCAGAAACATCCCATCGCCATGTTTGGGTTCTCTTTCGTTACCAGTGTCTTCCGCGTCACAGGAAAACAAGTGACGTCACGAAAAGACGGTTTTACGCGGGAACTTACGCGGGATCACGTTACCATTCCGCGTTACGCCGCGTGATTTTATTTCTCTTAGTACCGTCAGTTTCTAGGTGTAGATGTCATAAATAAATTTCTTCCCCTATTTTTCCAATGGTGGCGGCAGTGGGGAAGGAGGGGGGTACCCTGTGGAGCCAATCTACCGATTATTGCTCCGAGCATATCCAACAACCGTCAAAGGGTGTAGTTTCGGGTTAGCCTGTTTGAAATAGTTACAAATTTTGCCCATTTGGTGAAACAAGATCATTTTAATCTGCATCACTGGGTAGAGTCTTCAAAAATGCAAGCAAAAAAATGGCCAGAGAGTCACAGTTGTTTGAGACATTTCATACACCTGACCTACCCTTCCTCCAGGGGGAGGGGGCGCGGAGTGGTGGGGGTACTACCGTGTAAAAGGGACGGGGTTTAAAAAGCGGTTTTGTTACCTGTTTAGGGTATTCAGCCTCAAGATATCCACAGCGAGAGCTTTTTGCGGTACCTTTTAGTTAGGAAATTGAGCCAAAAAAATATGGCAGGAGAACGTGTTGTTTTAGAATTGGTGCCTTTTAAGGGTGAAAACATTCTCAAGCTACGCTCACAAAACAGGATCTTGTTACCTCTTAATTAGGGGCTCGTTTCAAAATTTCCGACGAGCACCCCAGTCCTTTTTATCGTAGCCAAAGATATCGAAATCAAAATACTTGTTCCACCAAAAACTGAACCAGGACAAACAGGAAAAAGTTATAAACAGAATACAGTGAAAAGACATCAGTTCAGTTAGTTCATGCTGACGCCATCAGGAAATTTAAGACCGAAAATCACAGTCTCTAGGAATGTCTTCAACAACTTAACCAACTCTGAGAAATTAATAATGAGTTCTCTAGCTAGAAACTAAAAAATGAAAGTTACTGCCGGGTAAATTTTAAAAATAAGAACATTAGCATTACATAAAGATGAGTGTAAATAAATTATTAATATGGTTAACTGACTGATCTGAGCTCGCTAAGTATGTACCATGAGAGCAGTTTGCTATACAGGTGCGCGATTTCACATTCCATTTTTCGTGCTTCATGGGAGTCACCATCTGTATCAGGTGTGTGTCCGTCTTGAGTAATGGTGTCTGTCTTGCACAGAACTGTCCACCATAGGTGTTAGTGTGTGTCTATTTCTATCGCGCATATACTTCCCAAGTATCTCCTGGTGACACGCCATTTGCAGGGGCATCATCACAACACAAAAACCGCGGAGATTTTACAGAGAAATATTTTTTCTCGTCAAACCACGAAGATACATTACGGTACATCCTTAAACGACCTCGATTAAAATAAGATCCTAATCGATCGACTGCTGTATGAGTTTCGTTGCCTCCCCACTCATCGCAGTTTAGAGAAAGCGTTGAATTGTCATCTGGGAGTACAGTGAATGATTGACAAGTTTCTGCAGTGTAACCCACCGCCTTGAGAAAGTAGTCAACAACATGGTGGCCAGCGGTATTGTTTGAGGTAGCCACGTGAAATACTCGGCCCCGGGCCTTTTTGAAACAGAACCAACGGAGCTGAACAAAGGAAATCATCTCCTTGAGCTTGAAGAGGGCCTGGGCAGTAACAGCTATGGAATTATTGTTATAATTTGATCGAGGTGTACTTATCCGATATGACGTCCCTCTGGCTCCCATCCAAGCCACCCCGGGGAACAAACAACAACAACAACAACAAAACAAAACAAAACAAAACAAAACAAAAATTCACACATTACCTCGCCAAATTAATTTAAGACAGAATTCTCGTCCCCAGATATTTTGAAAGGAAGAGCCCTCACCTCCGTCAGTTGTCATGTCACAGTACCGAGTAAACGGTGTCTCTATGCCATTTGGCTCGATCCAGTACTCTCCGTCCACAAGGGCGTGGCTGTTTTTGTCTTTTATGTCTTTACAAGAGCGTCCTGGCTTGGAAGAACTCTTACCAGTCCTCAGAGCTTACAACGAATCATGAACACGTTGGCATGAACTTCTTACTTTTTTTATGACCATTTTTAACGATAGTGGCCTCAAAAGACAAAATAAATTGTCACTTTTCTGACGTTCAAGTTTACTTTCAAATTAAAGGATAAAAGTAGGACATTAAAACACTAAAAAAGTATAGGAATAAATCGAAAAGAAATAAGGACGGTTTCATCTGAGGAAAATTAAGTTAAGTCTTGGGGGACACTCCCTATAATGGCCTATGGCCGGGCCTGACTGAATAAGAATTTTAACTGACCTCTTAAAAGCTGGCAATTTTTTCCTCCAAAGTCAGTCGGCCAAGAACACTTATAAAGACCACTGTGGTAATCAGGTAAACAGCTGCCTCCATTTTCACACGGAAAATTCAAACACGGCGTCTGGCTAAAGTAACACAACATAGGATAAGGGCCTCAAATTTGTATGTGGCATTTTAAACGCTCTATCAGCAGCAAAAACACCTTGTTGACGAGCTTTGAGACAAAAACAACGAACACTCCATTGACACTCCACTAACGACCTTACCGGGGAATATTGGCCCGGGGTCGTGGCAGTAAGGGACGAGCTCAGCGAGGTCCGTACGAAAACGACCGAGGGCCGATATTCCCAAGTTCGGCTTGAGCAAGCTAGGAACGTTAGTAAGTAATATAATATCAGTATAGCAGTCAAAAACAAAAAAAAACATGGCCTACGACCGTCTCTATTGAAACGGTCCGTATGGAAAAAATCTGACCCAGAGAACCACGGTTAGTGCTATCGTCCACGCTAATCCGTCACGAAAACGAAGCTTTTCAAAAACGCTCTTCGATACAAACCAGAGAAATTTGAAAACGCCGGCTTTTCATTTTCGAGTGGACGGAAAACATTTTGAAAACGGAGCTTTTCGAAAACGATG